GACCTTGGCTTATACACTGTGTGGGATTCCAGCTTCAGGATAACCAACTGAGAGCTGAAGATGGTATAGGACTGTCTCTCAAGAGCTACTCAGAAAACGGCCATTTGTTCTTTACAGAAGGTTATGAAATCACACTATCCTTTATTCCTTTCTTCTGATACAACTGCTCAGGAGTTTCCTTGTAACTCCAGATGGCATGTTCCTCTTTTGAAGTCACTGCCTTTGACCAATATTGTTTGATTAAGTTTATGTAAATTAGAATTCTTTCCTTGTCTTTGAACATTTTTTACCAGTCCCAGGTAGCAGCAAATCTTAAAAAGCAGTGCTGATTCCTTTCTATTCTCAGCACTTTCTGTGTCTCAAAGAATTGGGGAGAGACAACAGGGAGAACTCACAGATTTTAGTTATAAATTCTGGCATGTAGATATGCCTACAATATGGGCAGGCCTAAGTTACATAGTTTGAAAAAACTACAGATATTAAAAATAGTAGCATATGCTATTTGTCAGAAATGTGCATTTTCACAGTCCTTTTTGATAATATTATGATTTAAGGGCTGATATAGCTGCCTTAGATCACAGCACTGCATTCTGATATTACAGCTTTAGGTGGAAGGCATAGCTTTCTGTTTCATCCACAGCAAGGACTCTGTTTCTTTTCTTATATTTTATTCCCCTTGTCGTATTTAGTGAGTCTTATGGCAGAATTTGGAAGAAAACTGTATTCAAAAGGGTTACAAATGAGTATTTAATTATAGATACTTAGAATCTCTCTTTAAAAAAAATACAAAGGCAAATGTTTTAAGTATATGGTGGATAATAATTTAAAAATATAAAATTAACATTTAAGTATAAGTTTATGACAACAGCGAATGTGGAAAGTCTGCAGTGGAGGGGAACATTGCAAGATGATTTTAGTAAAACTTGTTTCAAAGTTATTTGTGGCATTTAAAATACTGAATAAATAAAACCATTGTGAAGACTGGTGGTTCTGTTTTGTTGGGGTTTTTTTCTTGTATGCATTAAATGTCTTTTTTTTTTACTGGAACATTATATTCTTTTTGTAAATGTTGCATATGATTCAGCAAAGTCTAACAAACAGGTGAAAGGCAATTAGGAAAATTTAAATAGAGATCTTTAATACATAACAAACAAAAATGGGTCATGTTCTTTTATAGAGAGAATTTTTAATTTTCCTTTTATTTTACAAGTGTATTTTAAACAGTAAACAATTTTAAAGGATTTTTACCACAGAAAATTGGGTAAAAAGCTTTTACCATGTAAGAATAGAGATCAAGAAATTACAGTTTTTAAATGGATTTCTTGTGTATGCTCTATATGGTTTTCAATATAATTTTAAATATTCAGACTATTTAAATATGCAGAACAGTAGGAATTTCACATTTAATAGTAGTATCTCAGGCCACTGCCATCGCTTTTGCTGCCTGCTGTGTGATTGTGGATGACATCTTCTGTGCTGTAAAGCGTCTTGAAAGAGTTATGCAACTAAAGCTAGGTAAAGGAAATCATTGTTAAGGTCTCATTGGAAGTATAAGCTGAGTGATGAAAAATCTTGTCAATACTCTCATCCTCTTTTAAATTCTCTCATCCTCTTTTAGTTTTGCAAGGATATTAGGGCAATAAAGAGATAACTCCTGTAAGATAAGCAGTAACAGAAAAATGCTTCAATGATTTGGCTAATTCTTTATACTTTCAGTGCTGCATTTTGACATATCCCTCAAATTGTGGTTACATTGAGATGTGCATATTCAACAGATGTGCTCATAAAAAATTCTGTTCAAGATTTAGCTAAATGCTGCCTTTACAGACTGTATGTCTGAGAACAAAGGATTAATATAATAAGTATAAACATTACAAATTGATCTCAGAAATCCCATGGAATTTCACATGTATGTTTGTACTGGGAGGTTTTTACAATTATGTTTAATTTAATTGTTTTTTCCAAATGAAGAAATACCTAATTGGAACCAAATATAATTTTTATAAGAGATTTCTTCCATTTGATTGACACTGAAAAAGAAAACACACAAAAAGTGCTTTTCAGTGGTTAAGCACTATGAATTTTAAAAGCAAGAAGTATCTGTTGTATTAACTTGAATGTTGTGTAGTATTTTTTTTAAATAGGTGTAATGACTTTTGGTAAACATAGTTTCATAATTTATACTTGTTAGAAGTGGGAAATTATTACAGTGAGGTTAAATTTCATTGATACCATGGGTTAAAATAAGAGACCTGAAAAATATTTCTTTTTAAGCTTAACTGTACATAGGTTAATTTTCTTGAGTAGCTACTGAAAAGATTGACAGCTATGTCATTTTAATGTTGATTAACAGACCTCTAATATGTTTTGAAAAGAACTAGGCCTATTAGGATAGGGACTTAGAGAGTTGAACCTGAAGCAGATTCTTCAAGATGATTTGTCTTAAAACATCATAATAGTAAATTGAAATATGATGGAATGATACTTTTATGCAGATTAATAACAAGGGTTAAATTAATCTCCTTCACAGAAAAAAAAGTGGGTTATTATTGTCTAAAATACTTCAACAGAATTTGGAGTTTCAAAACAGAGTTCTCCTCCATACTATTCCAAATAAGAATTTTAAGAAATTGATTTCTTTCTTAAAAAAGAAACATAGGGTGTTTTGCCATCAGAGAAGGTCTGTGTCATACTGGTTCTTTGAGAGCATCGACAACTGTCTGCTCTTTGGAGCAACAAGAGAGGAGGGGGAAAACCCAAATGGCAGGGGAGGGCCCTCGCTAGCTGATTCCTATTCTGCTGCCCCCAAGGGAGACAAGGAGGGCAGGCAGCAGGCTGGTGGTGCAGTTCAGCTTAGAGTCCAGATCATCAGTTAGAGTCTTCTGGTGCACTGAAGGCTCTGGCTCTGGCAATGCTAAATAACAGTAAAATTTCTTCTCAATTGTACTAATTTCTGTCTTGATGTTCTTATTTTTTTTCTTCTGAAACATTTTTGGGTTTTGATTTTTAGAAGAAATTAGTATTAGCTATCTAAAACAGTATTTAAAAGCTGAATAATCAAATGTTGCTTTTCTTCCATAAACCAAGACTGAAAGGAATAATTGCTTTGTTTTGACAAGTGAACCAAAGAAGTATGACATAGAAGTCTTACAGGAGTGCATGCATGAAAACTAGGCTGTCATGTTTACAAGGTGATTTTTTTTCATTTGATGAATTTTTCAAACAGTCACTAGTCTGTAAACTATACTGATATTTTTTCCAAGAAACTCAAGCTTCTTTTGGCTGTCCTTTAAGGAAAAGAGTTGGGATTAAATATAAATACACAGTTTTGATTGTGCAGCTATTTTTTTGAAAACTCTAACTCATTCCAAACTGTTAGCATTTTTTCAGTATATATATTTATTATACAGTTAATATTACACCAATCATTGATTGTTCTACAAGACAGTTGAATAAAAGATGGGTTTGAGTTACAGGTATTGAATGGAGTTAAAAATCACATTCTGTGTAAACCTTTTATAAGAGAAAAGGGAGTGGGTGACTGAGTCTATTGCAAGTAGTATACTTCATAATTGAAGAAAGATCTGTATTTTCATTATTCCTTATATCTCCGCTCTGTAAAGAGATATTTAATGGTTTCCATTTAACTTCTACTCTTAATTAGTGTCTTTAATTGCAGTAACATCTGTTAAGTTTTATATTAAAAGGCTGACATTTCCTCAATGTTTTAAGAGATATATTTGGTTTACATCCAGGCTTTTTCACCAGCAACTGATTGAGTTTCAGCTACGTCCCAAAATGCTGCAAGTGTTTGAATTGTTATTTGCAAAGGGGTATTCTGTAGCTTTTGAGAATTCAATAAAACATATCCATGACATATTTCATATTGGTGTGCTGTTAATTGAGATATGCAAGATATTATGCTTTAGAGAGCTTCCTTTTTTTTTTTTTATCAAACATGGCTTTTTGGAAGAGCAAAACCAGAAATGTGCATTTCTTCTACTTTTAAATCTACATCTATGAGCAAAACCAATCATCTTGACCTTGCATCTTAAATCCCTGATGTTCTTTTTAAACATGTGTTTTGTGGATAGTTCATTTAGAAAAATTCAATCTGTTTTTCTAGTAGTGCCTCTAGATAACAACCAACACTGTAGTTGCTTTGTAAAAGAGTATTTCTTGCAGGAAAATTAATGTATTTATTATATTTTGTTGCTCAAACTGTGTGCATCTGAATGTTGTGTTTGTTCCTCATGTTGCTGCTGGATAGTATTAAATATGACATACTAAATAGTAGACATGAAATACACTGGTTATTAAGAAGGTTCCAGTTTTTATATTATATTTTTCTTTAATTTTGATAGCAAGTCATCATTGATGATGAAATCAATTTCATTATTTCTCAAAAAGAAGATGCAGGAAAAAATAGAGAACAGTAAAAAAAAAGCCCTACTAATGCTTTGCTTCTGATATAAGGACACAAGGGTAGTGTATTAGTTTCAATATGCTGGTGGATTTGACCTTTGTTTAGCAAAATGAGTACAAAGTAAGATGAAGCTTGGTTTAGTCTGAATTTTTGTTTGCATGCATTTGCAATGATGAATTTGCATTTGCTGAATTTCCAGAAAACAGTTACTCCTTGGACAGAAATTATAAGTATACTGAGAATACATTTACCCTGTAATGTGTTTATTTTTAGTTTATATAAATAATAGTGAGAATTTTATTTCTAAATCTTGAAAGAAAAAAAAAAAGCTACTGCTGTGATTAAGGTAAAATAACTCATTTATTTATACCAAAGAAATGCAAGGTACTATAAAATTTACATCTACATTTGCTTGCCTGGCTTCACTCTGTAGCAGTCTATGCAGAAGCATAATAAGCTAATATTTATATTATTATATAATCTAATATCTCCAAAGAACAAGGTGTTGTATACTTTGGTCCTTCTGATCTGCATCTTTCCATTATTTAACCATTGTGCTGTATTTGTTTTACAGATTCTAAAAATGGAATGGGGAGGAGAGTGTTCTTTTGATTCTTCCAATTTAGACTGTTTGTTAAATGTCCTTCCTGGAGAATTGGAATTTCAACAAATCCTTAGTGATCTTGATGAAAAAATAAAGAAGAACTCTTCCAGGTAAGGAGTATTTTATTTGTATCCAAAATACTAGTGAAAGTAATTGCATTTGGGAAGAAATGTGGCTTAACTCACATTTATTTTCTAGTAGTAGGTTAAAATTCTGATAAATATTTCAGCAGTAATTTTATTTTAACCACTCTAGCATTTAACAAATTTTTAACGCTATATAATTACTGTACTATAGTCTTTCTCTCTATGCTATTTTTAACAGTTGTACCATCTTAATCTTAGGTTCTGTTGCAGTAGGTGTGATAGTGAAGGAAGAAAATGTGAATTCCCATGACAGTTGTATTTTCTACTGCTATGAGATAGAATTTCCTACTAATGAGAAATTTTTATTGACTGAAAGGACTACAGAATCTGACAAAAAGCAACATATAAACTCAGTATGTTCTTTAAGCTTTTCTAATGGAAGTAGAAAAATTAATTAAGTTAATATATGTATATTTTTTTCTTATACGATCCATTGTTTTACTATTTCAGTTACAACTCTTGTGTTGCAATTACACATTTTCTTACTACAATATATATATTTCTTTGTCTACTTCCTTGTAACATACTGATTTCCAAAAATCAATGTTGTAGAAACAGTGGAGTACTAAAAAAGTTCATTATTGATGCAGATTTTTTGCATGAATACAAAGAAATCAGCTCAGTGTTCTGTGCCTTATTTATAGCTTAACTCTTTAGTACCTTTATAATACTTTCATCAGTGAAAGATGCTCTTAAGCAAGTAAAGTTAGTGTCCATTTAAAAAAACAAGTGTATGGTCAGAGATATAACAAATGGCAGGATTTTACATTAAATTTTGAAACTGCTCACCTTTGGAATAACAGTGCATCTTATTGAGAGTTGCATGATTTCAAAGAACCTCATGCATGACATCTCTTTCAAGATCGTATCATTTTAATGTAGCCCACATTTTTCAGAGATCTTTGCTCCCAAACAGCTTTTGAAAGGATGGAAATAAACCATTACCGTATCTCTCTGAAAACTGACTTAGGTAATTTCTCAATTATTGTCAATTTCTCAATTATAGTTGTACTAAGAGGGCTAAGAGGTTTTTTTGGGGGGGGGTTATTTCTATTACTCTTACCACACATTTTCATTTAAAAATTTGATGTTTATACGAAAGTACTTGCAATATTAGTAATCCCATGGTAGCAATGTTGGTGAAGCTCTAGTAAATATGCTGTTATGGACCACTGCATAATACAATTCCATGTTAGAGTTTTCCAGCTGTTAACATGAGTGAAATGTAGATATACTTACTTAGAGATTAGTTTATGTCATAACATAGTTAGTTACACAGGTAATTAAGTTTCCAGTGTCTATGGTCTTATACATCTGGAAAAAACAGCATCAGCATTTTTAGCGTAACTGTTGTCCCCTCTTCAACTACCAAATAAAAGTGATTTTGTTGTCATTCTGCAGAGATATCCTGAGAGTTAGGAAGATTATTCTCAAAATAAACCTTTAGAATGAATGCTTCACTACTGTATTTTGTTTTAATGTGTGAAAAATGTATGCTGCTTTTGAGAAGACATCTGACTATGGGAAGGGAAACCAGCTGTTCATTCTTTTAAGTGGTACATTATAGCCACTTAACATTATATATTATATTTTACATTAACATCATCACAGTGGAAGTGTTTGTATGTCTCGAAGGAGGCTGATTGTCACTGCCCTACCTATCTAATCTTAGAAATTAAAAGGACCTTTCACTGTAAGTTCTGTAAGATCCAAATAATATTTTATTAAAGGAATGCAGGAAACTGGATAGGATGTGGTACACATCAATGCAGGTCAGGAAAAGTTTTGTATTTCTACTGAATTGACACTTAAGCTAGTAGTTACCAGGTGCTGTTTTGCTCCTGTAGTATGTCAGTTTCAGAAATTCAGAGAGTTTAAAATAAGATGAACAGCAGCTGATGTGAGTTTTAAATTAAAAAAAGTCCTTTTATTCTAATATATTAGAGGTAGCATGGAATGAAATAATTTTCAAGTTACCATTGATCTTTGTAACTGGTATGATAAGAACAGCTCTGTGTGATACAGTGATGCAATTGAAAAGCAATCCATTTTTCATAAAATAGATTTATACTTTTATTAGACCACAGAGAATGAACATAATAGTATACATCATATATATATATATATTTAAAAATAAAACATTGTGTAAAAAATTATGAGGCAAGAGTGTATAAATCATTCAACTGCTCATTTATTGCCTTCTAACTGAATAGGTTTTATAAAATTGTGTGACATGACAAATCAGATATGTTTCTCAGCTGTTGAATTACCCTCAGTAGTTTTGTACTGTACCAATTCTATTTGGTGCTATAACAACAACAAGGGGAGGCCATCTATGTGCAATTGTTTTATATGCAAATTTTAATGTAGAAAGTGGTTCATTCATTCACTATTATTATTATTGTGTAACAGAACTCTTATTACACTTGAATGTTAAATTTATTTTTAGAGCAGTTTATAGAAACAGGTGAATATGAACTCTCAAAACTATTGTCATTGCTGGTCAGTTTTGGTACAGGGGTAATCTCAAGGTTATTCTCCAGTGTGAAGTTATATTCATTGAGTTGGACTTTTGTCTTCGTTCTTTCCTTTCACATTTACTTTGACTTTCACTGCTTATCAAAATTTAGTATTTGGATTATTTTTTCTAATTGGTGGAATTAAGAATTGCTAACATTTCATTTGTGAGCAATCCACAGAACTGAACTTGTAGCTTATTTAATTTAGTACTTCTAAGCAGGAAATACAGTACAGACTTGAAACCAAGCCTCTGTTTCATAACTTGAAGTGATTGTTAAGCATGAGGTCTCTTCAGCAGTTGATTTTTATTTGTGTATTCAGTTTTTTCTTTAGTGAGTGCTGCCTTTTAGTTGTCATAAAGCAAGAAGATTTTATGAGACTGTAGGACAGTAAGAGATATTCTAGGTCTTCATCAACAGAACAATTGCTTAGAATTCAACACAATTATTTAATAATAATTGTATCTCCACAGCACCCTGGAGACGAAATTTGTGAGGCTTTTCACAAATGCCTGATTTGACTTCGATCTGATAAACTTTGTGTTGGTTTAACACAGCCTCGTTGATGTTTTTCGGGGGGATGAGCCACAGAGGTGCTTTGTGTGAGAAGCTACTAGAAGCTGTCATGATGTCCAGTCTCTGATGGCTCTGAAGATGGACATGGTGTTGGCCTGGTTAAAATTGGTAATGCCTCTGTGATGACACATTTAAGGAGAAAATCCACACAGGAGCAGTTTCCAGAAGTGGCGAGGCACCACTGCTGGGACCATCTCAGCACTGCATGTGCAGCCAGGAGGCTGCTGCCATGGCTGCCACCATTTCTGCACAGCCCACAGTGAGCTTTGCCTGCCTGGCCGCCCCTAGCCAGTCATGCTGCAGGCAGGAGGGCAGGGCCAGTGATGGTGGCTTCTCCTCCCTGGTGCCTTGAATGAAGAGAGCCAGGCATTGAATAGTTCCAGCACTGTAGCAGGCACATGGCTTGCATGGTGGTGGCTGGGCCATGTGGCCAGCAATGGAAACATGGCAAGTGATTCCTTACAAAGAACTTATATGAAATCAGCACTGCAAGATCCTGCAGAAATCTTTAAACTGGTGGGATTTACTGGTAATGGTACTTAAGAGCAGCAGGCTTTTTTCTTGGTCAGAGAAAGAGGAGAAAGTGAGGATATGTGGAAAAAGACAACATGGCCACATCAAGGTCAGTGAAGAGAAAGGGGAGGAGGTGCTCTAATCATTGTAGTCAAGATTTCTCTGCAAGTCGTGTGGAAGACTATAATAAAACAAACTGTCTCCCTATAATCCATTAAGTCCATGAGGGGATGCAGAGCCACTCACAACCTGTAGGAAGAGTCCTCATGCTGGAGTGGGTGGATACTAAAAAAAGCTGTAATCCAATGGAAGACCCAAACAGAGAGAAAGGGCCCTTGTTTCCAGAGGTAGAGAAAAGAGGTTCCTTGCTTCCAAATGAAAGCAGCTTATCCTTAAAGGACTACAGCTCATCAACTAGAGGCTCACATCATGGCAATTTTGGGAAGACTGTTGACCATGGGAGAAACTCATGTTACAGCAGGTTGGATGGGACTGCTACTCGTGAAATTGGAAACACATTGGAGAAGTTCATGGAGAACTGTCTCCCGTGGGAGGGACCCCATGGCATAGCAGAAGTGAGACTCCTCTCCCTAAGCCAACTAAAGAAAAATTTTGAGTGATGAACTGACCAAACACTCCCATGCCGTCTTCCTGCACTGTCGGTGGGAAGGAGAGAGGGTCTGGGGGGAGGAAAGTGCTTTAAAGGCTTATTTTATTCCCCATTATCTTCTTCTGGCTCTGTTAATAATAAGTTTACTTTATACCTTTAAGTTTGAGCGTGTTTTGCCCTTAGAGTGTTTTCTCCCGATCCTATCTCAACTCATGAGCCCTTAGTTCCAGTTTTCATAGGCGCCTGGTGTGTTAACCAGTGTCAAACCATGACAAACTTCAACCTAATCAGCAGTAGTTCAGTCATAAGGATTTTGAAGAAGGTCTATTTTGCAGGACTGCAATGAGGTCAATGCTAGTAAAGTGCTTATAGCATTGCATCTTTCCCCATGACTGTTTGATATAAATTATGATAATTATTTGATAACTAACAAGATCTTTACCTTGTGAATTGTAGATCTGGAAAGTGTCTCAGTAAGGATGTTAGTATGACATGGTTCAGCTGTTGATCATAACTTTTCTGATTTGCCAAGAAATGCTTACCAATGTAAACATTTTACAACAAAGGAATGGAGGAGTTTCAGACAGGCTATTAAGTCAAGCTATCTCATTCAATTTTCCTGTATCAGAACTGATATGTGCAAGGACTTAGGTGTTTTTACACTGAGATGTGCTGAAGGAGTTATCTTTCTGTTTTATTTGGGAGAAAATCTTGGCCTGTTCTGCTCTGGAGATTTCAGGAAGTAGCTATACCTCACATTCCTGCTAGTCAAGAGATTTATCAAATATTACCACCTCCAACCAAAATCCCAAGAGTGGTTGAGTATTTGGGAGAATGTCAAAATGAGGGCTAACTGTAGAGGAAAAATATTACGATTTTACTCAGACCTAATGTTTATCACAACTTCCAAAAATAATTTGACTCTTTTGAGTGAATGTAACTGGCTTGTTGTACAAATGTATTACTTTAGTGTCTGCCTGAGAATCTGACTCCTGTAAAGATATTAGAGCAATGTTATTAAAGTCTTTGTCAGAATAGTAGTTGTCTAATCACTTTACTGGACCAATTGCTCAGAACAAGTAAACAAACTGAGAAAGAAATGTCATTTTTTTCCTGTAGAGCCTGTGTTGTCTTTGTGCATAATCACTGAGTCTGGGTTAGTTGTTCCATATCAACTTGCTAGCTGGGCAGCACAGCTGCTCAGAAATTGGCTGTTTTATTGACACACTGTTTCTTTACTCAAATATTCAGGGATTATCACGGTGTCAGTACCTTAGGTGGTTAATTAGCTGTTGTCTACATCTACAGAAGCTGTAATCAGATCTTTGACTGCCCTGCAAAGTATCCTATTTAATTTCATATGAGCAGATATGAGATGATGGGTTTTGAACCCTTATTTGTCACTGTCATGTTTTGATCAATGGAGTTGAAAAACTCATGTTTTACTGCCTGTCTTCTGAAATAACTTACCAAGACAAAGGTTATGTCTTGTAACTGAAATATCTCAAGCCTTTAAAACAAGAGTGGAAATTTAAGGTGGGAGGGAAGTGGTTTGGTTAGAACTGACTGTTCTTATATGATCAAACTGTTGAGTAACTTTCTCTTGCTAAAGTGTAGCAAAGTCATAACCATTCTATTTATTTTGGTTTCAGTGATACAGTTACTTTACAGTTAGAGTGGATTTGGTTTGTAAGTAGCTAAATTAGAGATATCAAATAATTTTCAAAGTCCTTTAACCAAGTGCTCTGTCTTTGGTTTACATTTTAGGATTCAGAATCAAGAGACAGTTTCACAATGAAAATATCTGTGCTAAAAGTCTTTCTCTAAATTTTTTTATTACTCACAGCAGGTCCTTAGATACATAGATTTCCAAATGATATGACTTTTTTTTGTACAGATGCCCTATACCTCTAGCAGTCAAGCTTTTTAATGAGTAATAACAGTAGTTTTATAACACTGCTTACATCTTCAACAGCAGTGGAAACAATGATCTCATTTATTTTAAAACAGTCTGTTCTAAATAAAAGACACGTAAACTGATTATAAACCTGTGTTTCCATTAATATGATGATCTTAAGAATAAGGAACGTGAGGTTAAAAGATAATTTCACTTTATAGCTTAGCAGTTTAATTTAACAAATGATATTGTCATTTTATAGCTGCTCCCTATGCTAGATGAAATAAATTGAAATGCACTTGTTAGAAATTGAAAGGAGTCAGGAGATCATACATCAACTTACTCATAGTAATCTTAGGCAATAGAAAATGATATATGGAGAGGGCAACCCTTATTCTGATACCGTACTTTTCAAAACAAAGTTGTGTGCCGTTGTATGACAGTATGGTAGTGCTTACATTATCAGTTCCATTACAGTACTTTTTAAACTGTTTGTCCGTTGATGAAGCCACTTTAAAAGCATTCTCTTCAGATGATTAGGTTATTTGTAAAAACTATCATTAACTTAATAAATAAGAGCACCTAAGGGCTCTTACATTGAGATTATCTCTCTGCAGTGGGGGTATTTACTGAATGTTTCTCCAGAAAAGCACTCCAGTGTGGACACAGATAATGTAACACAACTTTGCTTTGGTTTGTTAAAGTGCAAACACTCTGACTTTTAAGAAGGAGGTATTTCAGTCAAATAATTTCCACTTGCATAATGGTATGCTAGTAGTACTAGCCACACAGGTGCAAGGTACTACTTGTGTGGGACTAAAGATTTGTTTCTTGAAAAATCAGTCAATTAAAAAAAACACCAAAACTTACAAGCATAACTATCAGGTTTCTTTGCTTCACAGAAAAGTTGGGGTTTTTTCGTTGAGCTTTTATATTCCACTCCTTCTCCAGTAGTTTGGTGACTGTTTTTTTTTCTCTTTGTGTCTGAACAGTTCCACAGGTTCCAAAAAAATATTGAGTCATCTGCAGCCAAAAAATTTATTGAGGACTGTTAAATTTGCATGTCCATAGCAGGTATATAATGTCAGTTGACATCATCTGGATTAATGCCTAAGTATGTTCAAAAAAGGAACTAATTTGCTGCTCTGAACTTAAAAAAATACATTTGTACTTAATGAAAAAATATTATTGGAAAAAAGGGAATTTAGCACTTTATATGGCTTTTTTAGAAACTGTATTTTTAAAAACATTAAGCATATTTTTCACATCAAAATTACATTTTTGTTTGCAGTTTCTGAAACTTTTGCAAATTTATTTTCTAAACCAGGAAATCAAAGTCTCATTCTACCTACAGTGGTATGAAATGATACAGTTTTGATACCAGCCTAGGTGGTGAGAATAATTTTAATCTTATTTAATGGAAGTCTTTTACTTAAAATGCTTGCTTTCTAAACTCAGATAATGCACTACATTCTTCTTTTCATTTTTTTTTTTTTACAGTATCCAAATTCCTAAATATATAATTAATTTTATTCATGTAAAGGATTAAGTAACTATAATTAACTATGTTTTTGTATTATTGAGTGTTGACAAAATTCTTAGTAAGATACAGCAGTGGTTTTGAGACCCTGTTTACCTCCAGTATTCTCTGTGCTGTAAATAAACAGGATGAAAATATGTTTATTCAATCAAAACCAGCGTTAGTGTTAATTAAATGTTTATTTTGGGAGGATAAAAGGATTAAATAAAATTAACATAGTTATCATGATTTATACCTGTGGAGGAAGTAAGGAGCAGGACAGTGGCACCAGAATCTATGCATTTAACCCCCTTATCAGTATTGGGACCAATTACCTAAATGTCTGGTCCTCAGAAGGCTGTAGCTTATTCCTAGCTTGAAGTTTATTAGCTCACTCACAGATTCGTATGTCAAAGATAAGTGTAAAAATTCACTCATAATAGTAGCAGATTGGCACAGATTTAACAACAGTAGTGTCTTTTATATTGCACAATGCTGTAATCTATTTGGGCATGTTTGAGATACATCAGCACATCACAATAAGAGCCTTTGATAGTGTCCCAGGAGCCAAAGTGTGTGAAGAATGCATTTAGTCTCATGGTCCTGAGAACAGGTTTCACAAACTAAAAAGATACTTGCCAATCTTTTGTCAAGTTTAGAACTGGAATTCGTGGCTGGGCTATTAATCCTAGTTTTGCCTGGATCTAAATTCTATTTTTCTAACTGAAACTGTATAAAATACTAAGCATTGCTTTTGAAAAAAATGTAGAAATGAAATACTGAAAAAGTGTTTTCATAGAAAAATAGGGCTAGATTGCTTTGGATTTTTTTTGGTTTTTTTGCTTTCACCTCAATGTCCACACAAATACAAATAAAATAATTCTGGATGTTCAATTGTTCTTGTGATCTTTACAACTGAAATCACTGTAATAACCTAACAGACACATCTGGTTTCATAAAAAGAGTTACGATCCTAGATGAATGTTAAGGAGTGGATCAGCTCCTTGAAAACAAAGTCTGTTTTCTTTCAAATATTCTAATGACAAAACAAGAAAGAAAAGATCTGCTTTCTCAGCACAACTGGTTCTAAAATTCTTTTCAACATTTTCTGTGTTGTAAATGGGTCTTTAAGAAGTTATTAATATATCTTATGGTTTATAAAACAACTGATGATTGCTAAAGGAGAAAAATGACACATTCACCTTTGAATACAGCAATTGATTCAGTTTATAGTCTCTGCTTTAGTTAATTAAACACCAAGGACCAGATATTGATACCAGGTTGGATAATGTCTTATTCATTAACTACTCTGTTAAAAAGAATAAGATTGTTTGAAAGTGAAGCCGTACATACTCTTGCTGAGGGTGGTACAGTCTGGCCTGAAGGAAAGTTTTTTTACCTCTAGCTCAACAGTACTTAAGTGTTAATTGTTAATTCTGCAAATTCAGGTCTTAATTTGTGAGGGTAGCTTAATTCATGAATAAGAAGGACTAGTGTTACCTTAATTTTAAGTAGTCTTTCTTTTTAAAATATGGGACATATAAAATACTTTTGTCTCCAGATAATGAAGAAAAGTCCTGTGATTTTTCTTTTTTCTTTTTTTTTTTTAGCATAGAAAAGTGTCTTAAGGACCTGCAATCAGACATAAATGAAATATGTACTGATGAAGTACTACAAAGCACAACTGACTGCATTCAGTGGCTAAACAGCTGCAATTTTAGTTCTCTCAGACTTTCTTCTACAGACCACGGAGAGCTGCTGGAGTTCCTTAAGACCCTGGTAAAAATTGTTTATTAAAGACTTTAATGTTGAAAAGATGGTTATATGATTTAACGTGGGAGAGTGGGTGGAGGAGTTCAATTAGTTTTCTCATTTCGGTCTTTACTGTTGTGAGGATAGTTCATAAATTCATGTCTCCAGCAGGGTGTTATGTTTCCTTTTGATCATGCCTTATATAGACAAACTTGGAACAAAATCTTTTCACAGATGCTACCATATGTTCAGCACTGCTTGGATTGTTTAATAAAACACATGTTGGTAAAAAAACCAACATTGGAAGTTACTGTCTCCAGTGAGGCTGTTAATGTTACTGCATGTTCTTCAATTGTATCAGTATTAATTCAACTCATCTAATATTTGTTATTGTCCTTTATGCATTATTTAAGCATAAACTTCCTGCTTGCTATGAGTCCAGAGGAGTAGGTGGTAGATGCCCCATCTCTGGAAATGTTCAAGGCCAAATTGTACTGGGCTTTGAGTAGCTTCATCTGGTTGAAAATGTCTCTGCTCATAGTTGGAGGATTGTACTAAATGAGCTTTAATAAAAGTCCCTTCCAATCCAAACGATGCTATGATTTTACACATCCCAATGAGAAATCTGGGAGCCACATTAATTGTTCTACCAAGTTATACAACTAGATGCAGCCAGAAATCAAATTTCACTTCAATGAAAAATACCATCCTTTCAGAGAGTATTTTTATCCAAAATTTTTATTAAAAATTTACATTTGAATATATGTGTGGAAATGGAATTCTGAAAAATTGGCAAGATGAATGAAGGTTGATCCCTCAGTAAATTATGATCTTCCAGTTTATATGTAAACTATGTATGTGAGGTCAAAACAAAGAAACAGTATCCAGTGATTATTCTTTGTCATTTCTGTGCCATGGTTTAGTTGTAGACAAAGAACAACTTTAGGCTAAATCAGCTGTAATGGAAACAGACAACTGTGGAGAAGTGGAGTGTTTTCTCTGGCTGGAGCACAAGCTTCATAAAGTTAGTTCATGGTTTTTTTAGCTCTTTGAACTCTTGGTACTGTTTCAGTCACCATTGATTCCACTGGATACTGACCTGTGTCAAATGAAGGAGTAACTTCTAGAGACACCAGCTCTTTAATGTTCATTTGGTGAAAAGTGATTTTTTTCTCTTCTGACAAAGATGATCAGTATGAATGTTGCTGTTAATAATCATCCCATTCAACGGTGTCAGAGACTGCTACATGTCATACTTGATCTAGATGAAATGAGAGAATCCCAGAAAAAGCTGGCTGCGAAGTTCTTGTTTTCAGGAGTCTTGTTACTTCTCTTAGTCCGCTTAGATCTGTACTTAATTCCTTCAGAAGGTGGCATGGCACTGATGACTTATTTGTGTCCATTCCCTGCTTACTTTCTTCTCCAAGGTCTATTCAAGCCATATGCCTGAACACCAGATGGCGGCATTTGTTTGGAAAACACTAAAATGTCCCCATCTTGCACAAAATGTGCTTTCTAGTTCTTCAGCTTCGCAGGAGCTTACTAACTGCATGACAGTCTTGCTGTGAGCTGTAGCATCCAGTTAAGCCCTGAGAACGGCTCTGTGGCAGGCTGCTAAACAGACAGCAAACTGAGAAGCCTGAAAGTCTCAATTCTGCAGAGTTTATCATGAAAACATGTTTGGAGCTCAGCAATTTTTACATCACTATTTCCAGGCTTATGGCTTCTTAGATAATCCAACCTGCTGTGTAGGTGGGATTACAGATGAAAAGTGTATGTGTACTGTCTGTCTGTATCTTTAGTACTGACTGTACTACAGTCTGTCTGTAAGAAGTTATATTCACAGTAGATAATCTTCAGTTCCATAAACAGGTCTGCAGTAAAGTAGTTTCAATAATATTCAGCATTAATGCGATTATTATGATCTGATTTTTCTTAAATATATATCTCTATCCATTGAACTAATTAAATAATTTCTTCTTGCATGCATTTTAATTAAGTATATAGAATTAATATTCAGTAACAGGAACCTTCTTTCTATTTCAGGACAATATTCCTATTCATTGTTATCCTTTATTATGTGTGTTTATTTTGTTAGGAATTTTGTTTATCTTTTAAGCTGCTGGGACAATTAAAAAACAGTACAGAGTTCTTTTTGGGCTTTGCCTGGGGCACTCTATTTAGGTTTATTATTATTATAATACATTTTTAAATTATTATGAAAATATTAATAATTTCTTCATGAAACTTGAAAATGTTAAGTATGTGAAATTTTGTCACTCTGTGTTACTGTCTTGTAACTCAATATTTAAAAGCTGAATATATGCACTAACACATTGTCATTAAATTCTGTTCCTGCTAAAATACTGGCAGATTTTTTTTTAACCAAACTTTCATCTTACTGTACTAATTTATTGATATGTTAGGTAGTTGTCCAGGCATTAATCCAGTCGGTACACTGCAGCTGGTTTTCTGTATGTTATTATTGTCACTAAATTTCTGTGCTCAAAAGGGAGCTTTTTATGCTTCTCCAAAATCTTTGGATACTAATTTGGATCTTTTGAGTAGTGTTGGCATCATCTTTTGCAATATTTTTATAGTTAATTCTTAAATTAAAATGCCTATATCAATATAGGCAATGTATGAAGATACTTGATGACACTTTTCAGAGCTTCAAAGTTCACTTTAGGTACTCTTTCTCAGTATCACTAAGTCTAAAATGGTATGTGCAAGCTCCTGTTTTTTATGCTGTAGTTTAAATTGCAAAGGGCTTTTAACAATCCTCAGAGATATAAAAATACTTCTGCTTTGCCTTTCAAAGCAGCAGTAGGGATTTGTTTGGAAGATCATTTGGATTTACCACTGAATGCATCAGGTGCATGCACTGTTTTGACAGCTTCTCTTGCTTTGTACATTTCAGAATGTAGTATTTGAGCATTAAATTAAAATTAAAATTTTAAATTAAATTTTTAAATTTTAAATTAAAATTTTTAAATTAAATTAAATCATTAAAAATACCCCCAACATTTAAAGTCCAGAAGTCTACTTGTCAAGAGATGACCTTTCAACATGGTGATTAATAATCAGGGTTTCAGTTTACACTTTGAAACACATTTCTCTTTGGGGCCACTAAACTTTATAGGATAGTTCGGCAGATAATAAAAGAAAATCGGGTAAGTATTATGTATATGCATTTTAATATTTATGATTTAAGATTTGAACCAGTTGCAGATATTTCTATTACATCCATATGCTTTTGTAGGGTGATATTTAAATGATAATTTCCTTTATTATTCTGTCTTCCACATCTTTCCTGCTTGTAAGATGAATTAACAAGAATTATTTTGAAATAAAGATCTAAAATGGAAGAAAAATAGGTAGTCTGTTATTTTTAAGACTTTCTTTATAAGAGGCAATTATGCTCCCAGTCTGTTATTCAGAATTAGGTACTGTAATGAAAGTGTTGGATTTTTTTTAATTTTTGTCAAGAAACTTTGGTCAGAGTAGAGGGCCAACAGAAAGGTTAAACCTTCTAAGGTATGTAACAGGTTGGAAACATTCAGAACAAAGAACAGGAGTTCTAAGTCAATTTTATTTGTGACTCTAAAGCGTAATTATTTATAGATAAAAGCTTGCTACAGGGGAAAAAATTAATATTTGGAATTCAGAAATTGTTATATTTATGCAATACCATACTCAAACTTGAATAATTTACCTCTCTTTCAAAATGGGAACAGAAATAAAATGAATAATTTCTTCAAATACTGTTAGTTAAATAAATCAGCAATGCTGAAGGAGGAAGGCAGCAGTGGTTTCCTTACCAGCCCTGCTTTATAGGATGGAATATGACTTGGAGACTGTGCTGGTTTTAAATGTCTAGTATGGGGCTGCTTTGGGTTTGTGATGAACACAGAGTTGATAATACAAAGATTTCTATTATTATTGAGCAGGCCTTCCATAGAACTTTTCTGCTGTTCAAACTGCCACACTGGTGAGGAAGTTGGAGGTGCATGGGAAGGTGGGAGGAGACACAGCCAGGACAGGTGACCCAAATTGAACAAAGGGATATTCCAGGCCATGTGGCATCAGGCTCGGTGTATAAAGTGTGGGGAAGAAAGAAAATGGGTACGTCTGGAGTGATGACCTGTATTTTTCCAAGTAACAGTAAAGCATGATGGGGCCGTGCTCTATTGGTTTTGCTCTATTGCTCTAAACACCTGCCTGCCACTAGAAGCAGTTAATTAATTCCTTGTTTTGCTTTGCTTGTGTGCATGGCTTTTGCTTTCCCTGTTAAACTGTCTGTCTCTCAACCCATGAGTTTTATGGCCTTTAGCCTTCCAATTCTCTCCGCAGTCCTGCTGGTAAAGGAGTGAGCAAGTGGCTGCCTGGGGCTTGGTTGCTGGCTGGGGTGAAACTAGGACAGAGGCAAGATAAAGGACATGACTGGAGTGAACCCCCCTGAGATGGTTTGCCACAATGCTTTTCTCTGTTGGAGAGAAGCAGTGGGACCTGAATGAGCAAGTGAGAGGGCTTCTAGAGTCTCATCCACTTCAGGCTTTCCTACTGAAACTAAGTAACCTGATGAAAAAACTAATGAAACTGAAACTAAGTTTTCTACTGAAACTAACCTACTGAACCAATTCTACTCAGTTTTCTTGTGATGGTAGTATTGATCTGTGACAAGAGGAGCTGTCCTTTGCTGTATGACCTCTTGAAGCTGAAGCAGCTCTAAGGTCAGAGATCCCAGCCCTGGACTGAGAGGGCTCTTCAGATTTAAATGAGGAAGGAACAGCAGCCATGTGGTTTCACTTGCTTTCTTAACTGACTGCCTTCTCCAACCCATACAGCACAGATATACGTCTGTGTATATCTATGGAGGTCACTAATATATCAATCTGCATCTTGGTTTGATGGGATACACAGCTTGTTAGTCTTCTGTCCTGTGTGATGTAAGGCTCTTTAATTCTTAACAAGTTTTCAATTTTAGTTCTTTGAGGGAGTCCTGGGAAGACTTTCCTATCCAAAGAATGGTCTTTTTGCTGATTGCCTGCTGAGACATAGAAAGTGACCGTTTTATAAATTCCTTGCTTGATTTTATGAGAAAACCTGTCATTATCTGTGTAAATCTTTAGTAATTTTTTTCATACATTCCTATAAAAGATTCTGTGACAACAGGCTGCCAAGGGTTTCTTTTGAACTGTGTTCTAGAGTTGATTGAGAAGAGGTTGGGGATATAAGAAAGATGAGAAGATGAATGTGTGAGTTTTTGGCTGAGGTAGACAAGAAAATTAATTTGCATATAAATCCTCTTTTCCACAGGTTTTATAATTTCTGTTGCTCACATATCTTATTTGCTGTTAAGATAATTAATATTGGAAACACAGTTTTTACTCTAGTATGAAGCTGTTCATTTGAAGAACGAGAATTAACAAAACTTTCTAAAACATTGTCTGATTTACCTTTGTTAGCAAAGCTTGCTGAAGAATGAGAAAAATCAAGAAGAAATGGTACTTCAGTTCCTTCTGGATCTCTCTAGTCAGTGTGGTGTTTCATTTCCATGTACTGCAAGCGGGACGTCTTTTGAGATAACATCTTCCCTTCATACCATTCAGGATGATTCAGCTGTGGATGTGAAATCTCTTTGGGATGATGTGAGATTGCATCTTCGACAATTTTTAGTAAATAGACTACAAAGTCAAGAAGAAACAAACAGGAATGCTTTACAACAACAAATGGAGTTTAAAACTCAGTGCGTACAGCAGCTTTTGTTTCTTTATCCCAAATCGGAAGTCTTAATGAAGTATCAAAATATGCAGAATAAACTGGTTAGTGATCTTCTACAGAACTGTATTTTGTCTAGTTCTGGTGAAACAAATTTTGATAAGGTGGTTAATGGTTACCAAAGTTCTATACCCAGATTGTGCACAATGATAAAAGAGGATTTGTATATATTAAGTGGAACTATTGGTCCATCTTCGTCATTAAAGTTTATTAATGAAACTTACCTGGATACCATCACTGAAGAAATGACAGTTCTTCTTGAAAGACTTTGTGAGCTGCAGTTCAAAGAAAATGCTCTACACATAGTTAAAGCAAACAAGATTTCAAAGAAGCATAGAGGAACAGTTCACACTGTGGGTTAGTAGTCTTATTTTATGTTCTTTGTAGTTAGATATTATTTTAATTATGCTACTTTATATATATGTATATATATATATATATACTTGATTATTTTCTCTGAAGAGACCCAAAATTAGTAATTACAGCTTCATGTTTTAAACGTATTACTGCAGTTGAATTCTAGACTGTGTCAGAATTGTGGTGCAAAAGTAAGAGAGAGTAACTCATGTAATTTAACAAAACTCTATTATAATCTACTGGATAACACTGTCATGTCATAGTAATTTTTTTCAGCCTGTTTTATTCCAGCTGATGAAGTATGTATATACTAGAGTAAGAACTATTTAATTATAATTTATTATAATTTAATAATAAGAATAATATAATAAGAACTATTATAAGTTCTTATTATACTCATACTTCTTATGCTCTGTAAGTATATAAGAATAATATAAAAACTATTTAATTATAATTTATTTAAATAGATTTAAATAAACACAAACTGTTCAGTCTTCTACTATTTTTTTTTCATTTTCAGATATTTAGAGATTACAGGAAAAACAGTACAGTAATGTGTCCGTGAAACAGCTACTGATTCACACATCAGAGCTGTCCCAAAAGATTTCTCTGCAGAGTCTAATTCTCAGACTAAGAAACAAACAAAAAACCCATTTACACTTTCTAGTTTTGTGAAAGTACATTGAGTTAGAGTTAATACCACCTGGTCATTTTTTGTTGTTCCAAGAAATGTCAAGTGGGAAAGGAATCTGTTATTGATGTAGTATTTTATGTATTTTCTTTTTGCAGTTTTTAAGTCTTGACATACTAATTTCCAAAGGGAAGAACCAGTGCTTTGGAAAAAATTATACAGAATAGAAACTTCCATAACATAATTGCACAATTGTATGTAATTACTTTTTCAATGCAGTGTTTTGAGCATATCTCTGTTCAGGAGCTGTTTGTTTAAAACATAGCTTTCCATAAAGTGATTTGCAGACAGAAAATATTAAAAGTTTAGGATCATTTGAAAAACACAGAAACAGAAGATCTTTGAATTGTGCAGCATAGAGAAAGAATGAGTGAGGTGATTATTTATCAGGTTTGTACAGAAGAAAATTACACGCTTCTGAATTTTAAAGTCAGCGTATGTGTTAGTGTAAGTCAGCTAAAAATTCCAGTGGAAGAAATGCAAATATAATTTTTCAACAGGAACTGAAATGTGGAGGAATATTGGAACATGTGAAGGACAAGGAAGAAGACATGCAGACAAATAAGTTGAAAGGATGAGAAGTTCAGTGTATATACTAGTGGGGTACAGTGTTGGTGGGAAACAATGAAAAGAAGTAGTGTCAGAGTACTGTTGAGATATGAAATAACAAGGAATGTGGTTTTGAATTAAATAGTGAGATGTGAGTCAGTGAAAGGATTCACTGAGATAAAAAAATTACCTGTGGTGAAGAAGTTTGTAATTTAATTTTTCTTTCAGTCTCAAAACAGCTCATGAAGATGTGGAAGTTATCTCCATTTTATGTGGAGGTACTAAAATATGGAGTTTAAAAGTGATCACAAACGTGTCTCTCTGAAAAATCATACTTTAACCCTGTATTGCAAGACAGAAGAAAACAGTTATTCAATCTATTAATGCAGTACATCCTCTGCTTAATTTTTTTGATACAGGATGTGACTTTGCGTGTTTTTGTGCCAGTACATCTATCAGTACAGATTTCCAGTGCATATTTCTCTTGTACAGTCAAAAACGCAGAGGGAGGTGAAAACAACCAAAGTAAATCTTAGAACTTATTTGCAACTTTAAAAAAATTTCCACAATTAATTAAAATATAATTTTTCTATTTCATTAATATTAGACCAGATTTTAATTTTTATTGAAAATTCATTAAATCTTGGATTCCAGATGCAGCAGCATAAAATGTGTTTGGAATTTCTGTTCATTTATATAATTTAATTCTCAGGATTACTTTCTTCACAGGGGTTGTCATAGTTGTTTTTTCATGTTATTCTATTTTAGGAAGTTAGTACGGGAAGTAGGTATTGATTTGCCTACTGGTTCTCTACTGTTCCTACTAGTTTTCTGCAGAAAATGGCTCTTACTGACTTCAGGCAGAAAAACCATAAGGCACCAATAGTGAAATCAGAAATCAGAAGGCTAAAACAAAATATGAGATCAGAGTTGTGAAGTTTTGAATGTGATTTTTTTTTTTTTTTTCATTTTCTGGACATGTCATAGCCTGTAATTTGGTATTATTCATCAATTCAAGCAAAAATTATCCTGGTATTATTATTAAAACAGCTGTTACTGAGTAACTTATTTGTATATGAGTTTGTATGTGAAGAGCCTTTTTTAGAAAGTGATTTCTCTCCTGCAAATGCATGAATATACTGTATTTGTACCACACTAAGTTATATAAAGGCATTTTTTTTCCTTTAGGATTAAAATGTTCACAAGGCAATTCATAGTGAAATAACTGTTTGGGAAATATTCTAAGAGGTCTGTAATGGTGGAAAAGTTCTTAATGTCAAGTAACTTTTCCTACTTAGAGGTGTTAAATTCTGGTACTTTGTTGCCCTCCCACAAATTAGAGTGGAAATTTAATTTTTACATTGATCTAATAGATTACATTGGCAATGATACCCAGTTAGCCAAGTATCAAAAAAACCTTGTGCATAAATATGGAGGGAAGGACAGAAAGAAAAGGTTTTTTTCTTAGCTGAAAGACAGATGTGTTTCTTGTTTTTTGATGTATGTTGCCTCTGCCCTCTGGGAACCTTCAAACTAGCACATTTCAGAATATCAAAATAATTTAATCTAGGGCATTCAATTGGGACTGTTATCCTGGAGGTGATAGAAGGGTTTGTGTTTGCTTAGTCCATCCTCAGGGTAATGTGGTTTTTAGTTGATGTTTGTTGTGGGTTTTTTTTAATAAGAACTGCTGTAATTGATCCTACTATACAGCATAGGAAAAAAAAATAACAGAAAATAATAAGGCAGTGCTCAGAAAACTTTCTGTAGACAACCTATTTCTTTTGGTAAAATAGAAATAGTATAAAACAGGCTTTAACAGTTATCTTTAAAATATTCCATATATAATAATCTCCCTGTGAAGTAAGGAATTAACATTTTTCTTTTCATTCTGTATTAAAGCAGTTATTTGTGAAGTAATATAAAGAGATTGTTTCCGTTTATCAGTACCTAGTAAGTGTGTGGATTGACAGAGAAGCTGTCAAAATGGCATGTGAAAAGAAGCAAATTTTTGGAACTCAGCATCTTCAGTTGCCAGCTCTAGTGGAAGCAGGTGGTTTTATGTTACAACTTGATCCTCTTACCTGTTAGATCTGTGCCTCTTATTACCTTTAACAGTGAAGGGTTCAGTCTATAGTATTTGGGGTCTTATTGTAGGAGCTTTATATATAACATGAATTATAATTTCTCTGTGTACTTTCAGGACAAAATCAGTGTTTCCAGCTTGCTAGAATAATATGCAAGGAATATTTCCCAACACACTACTTCAAGTTTTTTGGGTTATTAATGGGATTCTGTTGTTTCAGACTTTTTATCGTATTAATAATTTGCATCTTTCGAAAGTTTATGTAATGTTGTGGTATTTAAAAGTATAATAAAAATATCTGTATGAAAAGTATCCATACTTAGCATGGACAGAATCACAGCTGGTTTTCAGGTTGTCTCATGATTTTTTGCTTTGATTTCCAGTGCGGTATTTCTCAGAAATTTTTTGTTCTATAGCTGTCTGTGTATTGTAGTTTTACCTTTTAAACCTTTTTTGTGTTCCTTTGTTTGCAAAAATATTAAGCTAGTTTAATCAGGCATGATTAACCTATATTAATAATAATAATTTGTTATCTGTTAGATAAAGAAACAGCTACTCTTAAGACATAAGAGATAAGACACCTGCCAAAGAAACTTAAACCCCATCGAATTATGAACAGTTTATGTATTAATGGAAGGTTTTCTTTGGCTTTATTTATATAGTTTTTGTAAATAAACAGAGTAAAAATACTTATGTAGACTAATCAGCTGGTTTTTTTTAAATTTACTGTGGCTAAAATGAAACAGAGATCAGAGTTTAAATTTTATTTTTTTCTGACATAGTAAAATTCATTGGCTTAATATTTTTAAATGTCACAAACTTTCCAGAGATCCTTAAACATTTAAAATCATAACTGAACTCTGTTTTTAAAATCAGAGGCAATAGATATTGTGTTTCTAAATATCAGTAATTCATTATTTTTAAGAAAAATATTATTGCAGAATGGAGGTAAACTAAAATGATGCTGATTTGACTAAGCACATTTTTACCTAGAAAATAATTAAAATACCTTCAGAGATATACTTTGATATTAATGGATTACACTTTTACTCCAGTATATATCCTCTTAGTTAGATGTCCAGCAGGCTTTGTTTCTCTTCTCTTTCTCCAGATTATAACCAACTTCCATTCTATTATAAAGATATATTTAAATGAAAATTGTGATTTAAATTATATTTTAAATATATTATCTTTAAATGTTCATGTGTTCCTACAGAATATTGTGTTTGTGGAACACCTAAAATTAACATTGCATATAGATAATCTTGAATAGAAGGATTTAGTACCATTTATACGAGCCGCATTTGTGCAGTGGAGTTGGGAGCAAGAACAGAAACAGGCCCTGGAGTAACTTGTTGAAGTGAAGACAACTTTGGGATGTTAAATTAAAGTACTTTGTAAGAAAAATCTATTTTCATCTCACTTATACTTGCATATTCCCAGCAATTTGCTGAGGAGCTAACTTGAGATACGAATTTTGGGTTTTGCACATTTAACTTATATTTGACTTCTCTACTGTGTTTAAGTGCATATGGTTTTATTCCCCCTAGTTTACAATTTCCTCTTTTTGAAATGAAGGGCTTTGGTTTCAGACTTGCTTTTATCGTTCTGTATAATTTACACTCGCTTGGTTTGCAATCTCAATAGCCACCATTATGGCCTACAACCAATCTT